TTTTTAGTTGATCCAAACTTTCTAGAAAAAATGTTACAAAAAAATTTGAAAGAACACTACTGACCAGTAAATTTAAAATATATAAGACAGTAAATTCAGGAAAGTTACACAGTTTTGATCACAATTACAAATTTGACAAATATATAAAAGTTAAAAGAATTGTAAAATCTTTATGGTACCTTTAAAAAGCTAAAATCTTACTCCTAGACAAAAGAACAGATTCATATATAGAGAGATGATGAATATGCCATTCATTCTAGCTACTTGGAAGGCAGAGGCATGGAAATAAAATTTTAGCTTTAGCCACTTACCAAGAGTCTATTTTAAACTAAAAGTCAAAAGGGGGTGATGATGAAGTTTAATATTATAAGAACCTCTGAGTTTAATTTGCAGTACATATACATGTATATAACAAAATTTATATATATAGAAACTCTGAGTTCAATCTGCACTGTGTATATATACGTAACAAAATTTAGATATATTACATGAAGAAGCACAAGAACAGGGTAAACAATCAAGGCACTATATATAAATCATAAATAAAAGAGGGATAATATTTATACATGTAAGTATAAGTATAGAAAACTTGATTGAAAATTGGCACATGGTTCAAGTGCAGTCTAATTTCACCTAATGTTTTCCTAAAGTGACAAATTATGATAATTTCTATTTAATCATAACATATAGATATAAAAATAAAAACAATATCACTGATGTGAGAAAAATAATGAAAACACTGAAGCTGTCTAAAGAGTGAAACTCAAAAAAGACATAAGAATTAGGGTAATGTAACCTACAAAATTCTGAATAATTGTATTACAATAGAAATCTTTCTTTCAATTATTTTGTAGTTATAGGTGGACAGAATACATTTATTTTATCCGCTTATGTTTATGTGGTGCTATGGATCAAATACAGTACCTCACATGTGTGAGGAAAGCCGTCTGCCACTGAACTACAGTCTAAGCCCTGAAAATTCTTCTTTAAACCACATTGATCAGCTATACTTACATAACCACTAGGAGCAGGCATTGTGAATAACTGCTATTCATTATATAGCAGAATAAATTCTCAGAATGTCCAGTATAAGCGTTCATATAAAGCTCTGATGATAAAATTTTGAATGAATAAATATTTAAATTATATTAAAGAAACTCTTCTATAATATTAATATATTATGGTTTTACTTAGAGGTATTTGGAAATTAGCAGATTTTCAAGGGAGCCCCCAAATACAAATAAGTACCAGGTTATGCATATCCTCACAGGCATTGTGGAATATTTTGTAGGGATTCTGACTGTGGAAATATACAGAGAATCATTCCTCTGGTGAGCAAATTCCTAGGCCAGGGGTAACAGGCACTCTGTTTCCCACACTTAGAATGTAATTAAATGCATGTGCAATATCAAGCTGCTATGGCAAAATGCTCTGCTCCAAAAGGCTCTGGAAAACAACTCCTGAGAATAAAGGAACTCTCTCTTTTTTCACAAGCACAATGTTTCAAAGAGTCTGAAACTCTCTACATACTGGTAAGTTTATACAATGGAATTTCTTGAGAGCTATATAAAACTCCTAAGTTTGCACATTGCAACTTAGTATATAACTGAGGAATAAAGTGCATAATGTTGCTAAATTTCTAACCTTCCTAATAATAAAATGAACAATATGTAGTAGTGATGCCAATGAGCTAAATTAACCTATTGATATAAATAAAGCTTGGCAGCTTGGTCTCTTTGCCATTATGCCACAGTTCCTGCCTCTTGTCTATATGTCTTCTTCTTCTTCTTCTTCTTCTTCTTCTTCTTTTTTTTTTTTTACTGTCCTACAATACTTTGTTAATTTGAATGTAGAGAGATCACTGGAGGACAAGAAGGAGCTTAAATAATTGATTGCATGGTAAATATAGAGCATGGAATGCTCTTCATTGATTGCAATAGAAACAAACCTAGGCTTGAAAAAACTAATTTCTGTTGAATTTTAGTTTATCAATTAACATTTTAAAATGTGAATTCCTCTTTGAGATTTGGACCTTTTATCTATACTCTTTGCTTCATTGATTTCTACCCACTTTGACATGTCTACTATCAGTTTTCTCTTCAAATCCCAAGGTTATTTCTTTGGGGACAGAAAGGTGACCAAGGATTACTTCAAGAAAGCAAAAATTTTTGATGGAAAATGAAATATGTCACATTTTGTTATTTTCTTGGTAAATACAGAAGTCTTCTTAAAAGAAAAAGAAAATATCCCATAAGATTCTACACAATTATTTTCCATTTTTTTTCCAGACAAAAAAACTAAAATAATTTGAAACCATTTTCATTCTCTACATTGTGACCACTACTTAGAAAAGATAAATTAAACATAAAAAGAAAAACCTTCCACATTTTCTTTTCTACGTAAACAAATGCCAATCTTTGTCCTAAAAATAAGAATCTAAAACTTTTTTTCATGCAGAATAGAAATTGCAATAAGACACTCTACAAAGTTTTTTAAAAAAAATAATCCTTGGTTTTGAATTAGAAATTCTGACTTAAATTTAGGCTCACCAATAAAGAGTAGGTTTCTACAGATCTCTAACATCACATCTCCATATAAAGTCTGCTGAGAAGGGTCCAGGCATTTCCATTCCTCTTCAGAAAAATCAATGATCACATCACTTAATGTCAATGGTTCCTGAAATAAAAATGAGTAAATACATATCACATAAATTATATGATTAATGACATAGTATTTATTTCATAAAAAATGTACTGAGAGTTAAAAGAAGTGTCTTTCACATATAGTAGTGACCTCATCCATTCAATAAGATACTTTTTTGTGGTGCTGGGGATTGAACCCAGGGCCTTGTGTATGCAAGGCAAGCACTCTACCAACTAAGGGATATTCCCAGCCCTAATAATTAGTTACAAGCAGCAAAATTGGTGGATAAAGTTAGTATAATGGAACCCAGTGAGCAGCATGTGTGAAGTAAAACACTGAGGCAAAGAAGTGGAAAAAAAATCCAACAGAATCCCAAAGGATGAATAATAGTAGTAATTAGTTATTGAATATTCAAAAGAAGCACAAACAAACAAAGCAATGATACTTGAGACATGCATAGCAAAATTATAAGTAATGATTTTACTCATACAACAGTGGTCACCTCAGTGACCATATGAGATCACTAAAGATACACGAAAACATCCAACAGTCCACATATTTATTTGAATGGTCAAAGTTGTCTATCTTCTCATATTTACACATACCATAAGACAAGTACTGTATCTAAAACATTACTTTTACTTCTTCAGACCACAACATCACAACTCACTTCTAAAACAAGAGAATAAAAATTTTAACTATCAAACTATTACAAAACACTTAGGTCCTTGGGTCAACTTGAATTACATGGCAAAAAGTTATAAAAAAATTAAAAAGCAAATTAAGTGAATAGACTGTTAATCTCTCAGTTTATAAGGAAATTGACACATCAGTTTAACATTCCCAGATTTGGATAACCACTCTCACTGTGAAACTGTATCCTCACCCGGCTCATTTCAAAGTAGGAAGTGAGAGAATACCAAGCAGTTAACAAAAAAATTCTGAAAGGTTCTGGCACCCTAAATGCCTCCCTGACAGCATAAGAATACTACTTTTTCCAGGGTCTCAATTATCACTAGTGAATAAACACATACATGAAGTTAGTTTAAAGTTCTAATCTGTGATGTCTTTTTTCTGTATTGTTATTATTATTATTATTATTATTATTATTATTTTATTTAGATATTTAACCCAGGGGAACTCTACCCCAGAGAGGCATTTCTAGAAGTTTCAATTTTTTTTTTTTTTTTTAATTTTGACAACTGGGTTCACAAAGTTGCTTAGGGCCTTTAAATTACTGAGACTGGACTCAAACTTATTTCTTTCTACTTCATTTTTCCACACCACTGTGAGGTGAGGTGTGTGCCACCACTCCTGACTCTGCAACGGATTTTGATACCAAATACTCAAATTTGCAAAACAACCAGGTTTTGAACTCAGAATCACAACTGCCTGACTCAAAAACTCAAAGATTTTCCTAGGTCACAATAATCATGCAAATTTTCTAGGGCTCTTGATATAGTTAAATTGGTAGAGTGCTTGCCTTGAATGCAAAAGACCCTAGGTTGAATCTCTAGCACCAAAATAAATAAATAAATAAATAAATAAAATAAGATAAAAATAAAACTTTTCTAGGAATTTAGTAACTAAAAAATTACACCTCTGCTATAGAAGTATGATTCTTTTCAGCTTCATATCCTTTACTACTTTTTACTATTAAAACACTTTCAAGAACACTCAAATGTTTTTTTAAATAGGGAATAATTTGGGTAGATCAAATTGGACTATGTTTTGAAAATAAAGCTAAATGAATCATTTTTATTTCTCATCATAAGATAATAATAAAAAATGTGCATAACATACAATATACAGGTAACTTAGTTTGTTCCTTTTCTTTGGTTTTCATAGTCTACTTATGATTTTTAACCTAGATTAAACCTAGACAGTCTTTTCATGAAACAGTCTCTTGATATGAAAGCAAGAGAATATGATAGACCTACTGAAAATATTTTTTTTTCCACCAGCAGTTTGACTAAACACCTGAAAATATGAGAAAATAATTCTTTTATTTTTTTCAACATGGCAAATCTTTTTTCTATAAACCCCACATGAAAGGCTGAAGTGGATTAATCTACAGAGCACACAAGGAAACCACACAGAGCTAATGCATTTTCAACTAGGAATGAGTGATGAGCCCCTTTCCTTGTATATTTATTCTTGGTGAGGTCATATGTCCATCTCTTGAATGTCATAGAAATAACATTATATAGTTTTAACAAACAGAATGATAAAAACCTTCACTGCTTTTAAGCACAGAATATTTACATCATCCCCCCCCAAAAAAAACATTTTCTTTCACATGCAACTTTTTGTTCCCAGAAGGATGTTAGTGTAATGGATTATAGAACTACATTTTTATTTTGCCTGACATCATGCAATATAATTCAAATACAGCTGCTGAACTATACAGTATCTGTGAGAGTCAATAAGCATGTGTGCATCAGTACAGTGTTTGTTTGTATTGATGGCTGCTTTTATATTTTACGGATTCACTACAAATTGTTAATTTTAACATTCAAGAACATTTGAGTTATTTCTTACTTTGGACCATTTAGGAACAGTGAGGCCATCAATAATTTTGAACAAATAATTATTAAACTCAGCTTATTCTTTCCTAGTATTTCAATGACACTATATATTATTTTTTCTGATTCCTATGAAAGTTATAATTTCCATAAATACAAAATAAAAATCTTACCACAGACTGTTTATTTTCTTGTAGTCTTTATGCAATTACTATAAATATTTATGTACACATTATACATCCCAAAAATACACTGCATATTTTTTGTATGAAATAATCATAGATTATTATAAAACAAAGAGAAACAAGTATCAATCATAAGATTGCTATTACATGCTAGCCATGATGATATACACCTATAATAATTCCAGTGATTTGGGACAATGAGGCAGCAGGATAACAAATACAAATAATGCCTCTTTTTCTTAGCAAGGCTCTCAGTCACTCATCAAAACACTGTCTCTAATAAAAATACAAAAAGAGCATGGGAGCTCAGGATGTGGCTCAGTGCTTAAGTGTACCTAGGTTCAATCAATGGTACAAAAAAAAATGATTTGTAATATATTATAAAACTTAGTGCAGTAAAACATTGACAATAATGTAACAAATACAGAATTTAATTGATAATATGGAGAAATTATGAAATGTTATTAGCCACATTTGGCTACAATATTAGTAGATATGTAAGTTTTGGTAAATTTTCTTTCCTATGTGCCACATGTTTTTAAGTATAAATTTTCAATGTCATGACTTATAATCTGAGATATCATTTAAACAACAATTATACTTTATATTTATTGTTTTATGTTCTACAAGATACTTTGCTTTCAGCTTTTTAAAGTTTCAGAAAAGTGAATTCAAGAACGGTTTCAAAGTCATCAAACACTACACAATAAGAAGTATAGGAAACGTTTAATATCCCTGATGAAAACTCTAAAACACGTTTAAGATAAGAAAACAGTTTTATGTGAACATTCTGAATTTAAGTCTTCACTCTCAAATTTTTATCTACATAATGACAGTACACTTTAGATAACATTCAGTAAGAAATTCACCACATTATACACATTCATCAGAAGTCCAGGTGCATATGCTTTGTTGACTTTTCCATTTCATCTACTTTTTTTTATTTTAATTTTTACACCTTCATTTTTGGTGACCTTGAAAGTATCTACTTTTTAAGCTCTGTTATTACACAGTTGGGGAAATAACAAAATTAAAATAGCAAGCCACACAAGGAAGCTACTTTGTATATATCTTACTTTCACCATGTTAAAAAGATTGGTGAGAATCTCAAAAATCTACAATTCAGAAACAAACAAACAACAACAAAACAAGACAACCTAACAGACACAAGTACATCCACTCAGTGAAAGAAGTTAAAGAAACATGAAGCAGTAAATTCTCTGTTCTTAATTAAGTAGATTACAGAAGCAATAAAAAATTCCTCCAATTTTTAAAAATAAAAACATATATTTTCAGGAAGTTTGTCAGAATCAGCCCTCCACTTTTGAACACTGCAAAAAATAAAATATATTCAAAAGTGTTTTAGAACAAAATATTTTATAACAAATAATGAGAAGTTACATAAAAGAATACTTCCTAAAGTCACATATGCAGTAAGCAGCATTTAAGAAAAAAAAAAATTAAATTCTGTCAAATTTGAAGAGTTTGCCTCACCAAGCTGTTTCTGTTTCTGAAAATATGTTATGCAGCTTTCAATTATAATTTGCAAATATATGCACAACCTGGAAAAACAGTATTTATATTTGATAAATACCTACCACTTTAGCATGATTCAGTTTGGTCACATCATCAATTAAACTTGCAAAAAATCTCTAGATTCCCATTGCTGCTAAAGGAAATAATCACAAATATAACAACTTAAACAAATAATTTGGTTTATGCATTTGTGGGTGTTCAGAACAAAAAGCTGCAGTCTCCAGTTTGTACCTCTAAAAATTCCATGACAGCCAATTTTTCTCAGCAGGAAAATTTCTCTTCACTGACTAATGTAATCTTTTAACATCTTCCTTTCAATGCAAGAAACTAGTTACCTCACATATAACAAAGCACTCTGAAAAAGAAAGGTAGGAGGCTTAGGCAGAGGACCCCAAATAGAAAGCCATTCCAAATGCTCAAGTTCTGGGAGTGAAGCTAACTGATCATTTGCAAATCTCCCCTAGATCACAAACTATGGGTTTTACAATGATCTGCACGCATCTCAATGGGCTGCTACAATCCCAAGCAGTAGTTCAAAGAAGGGATTAGAAAGCACATATATTTGTTAATTCACAGAAAGGTTTTTACATACTCTCTCTGTAGATACTTGACAGACTGGACTCCACAATCTTTCCCAACATATTTGATGCACAAGTCAAATAGTGGACACCTGTATACTGAGCACAGGTGTTAGAGTAACTTTTGTCACTAGGCACAGCTGCACATGCCTGTAATCCTAGCAGCATGGAAAGTTGAGGCAGGAGGATTTTGAGTTCAATGCCCAGTCTCAGAAAAAGTGAGGCAATAAGCAATTCAGTGACACCCTATCTCTAAATAAAATACAAAATAGGCCTAGGGATGTGGCTCAGTGGTTGAGTGCCCCAGAGTTCAATCCCCAGTGCATACCCCAGAAAAGAGAGGGAATAGTTTTGTCAGTAATCTAATACCCAAAAAGCATCAAGAAACTATGGATCTTGGAAAAAGATAACCCTTGCACACTATTGGTGAAAATGTAAGTTTAAAAAAGTCACTTGTGAAAATAATGTAACCCCCTTGAACTACTTAAAACAGAAGGAACATATAACATGGCTAAATTAATTCTGGGTATAAATTCAAGGAGTT